CTCCCAGGAAGCTGTAGCTGACTCCACTGTGGGGAAGCAGTAGAGGCAAAATAGAACCATTCTCTGGAAGTTTCACAAGGAAGAAGACTGCACATCAAAAATGCATCATAAAGGCAAGAAAATGGAAGAACTGCCCCAGATTAAAGGAGGCCAAGAGATAAGGACACTGGACACAGTCCGTGACCCTGACCACTCCTGGAGGAGAGGGCTGTCAAGGGCTGACCAACGACCAGATGGACCAAAGCACCAGCTGGTGTTCAAGGAGCCACGGTGACAGCAGCACAGCATCCAAAGGCCAGACCCCAGCCTCCAGGTGCAATCACTGGGCTCCCAGGGTCAGGGCCACGGCATCCACAGCACGCCCTCATGTGGGTCAGGAAAAGCATGTATGTAACACACGCACACACATGCACACCACCTGCAGGAGGAGGGCCAGAACACAGGAGCGAACACAGAAAGTCACACTACAGGGACAGGAGCTTCGAGGATGAACCAAAGCCCTCCCTGGTTTTGCAAATACCTGTAAGTTTGACATTATTTCCAAATAAAAGATCTTTAAAGAAATAAAGTCTTCCTTAGCCATTTTAAACAAGCACAATGTTAAGAAAACAATAAGGCCACAGACTGCAAAGACACTCATGAACACGCCTCTGATGAAGGGTGTGCACCCAAAGTGCACGGAAGTCGCCGCCTCCCTGCTCCATGGTAGGAGAGAGCAGCCCACACAGAGGGGTGGACAGTGGGACCGTAGGAGGGACCGTACGGAGGAAGGTGACCAGCGGCTACAAGCACACCAACAAGAACCAAAGCCCGGTCTCTGGGGGATGTGAATCACAGCTGTAGGGAAGCACCACTTCCCACAGAGCAAACCACGACGGCAGGAAGGTGGGCGGTGGGACGCTCGCAGGCTCCACAGAGCCCACCCAGGGAAACAGACACATCTCCAGGGACTCCCGGGAAGGGCAGGAAGTACCACCTACAACACAGCAGCACAAGGTCACCCTCACAGGTGAGGGTCCACCCACCTGCCAGGGACGAGGCCAGACACCACCTCCCACAATAGGCCATGCAGACGAGTCACCAATGGGCAAGACCCGTCTATGGCTGTCACGGGCTCCAAAACAGCCCTTAAAGACGTGAGGGTCTTGTCCCTGGGACGGATAAACTGCAACTTCTAAGGAAAAAAGTCATTTCAGGTGTGACCAGGCCCTTGAGAAGGAGACATTATCCCGGGTCATCTGGAGACCTGGACATCACAACTGTCCTCCCAAGAGAAGCACAGAGAACGGAGGTAGAGGGGAAGGCAGCGCAGAGATGAGGCGGGGAGTCCAGACAACGGCCCCTGAAGACTGTCCTTCAGTCCTTCCTGCACCAACGTGGCCACAAGCTGAGGGAGGCCAGCGACCACCAGAAGCCGGAGGAGCCAGATGGATCCTCACCAAGTGGGCAGGAGGCTCGGCCCTGCGACACCGTGACTCCATCCCAGCGACCCAGCTTCTGCCCCCAAGACTGAGACAGCACTCCACCAGGTCTGTGGCAATTTGTCACAGCACCACCAGAAGCTGACAAAGTGCAGACAGATGCCAATCCAGCAACCGCTGAGGGGAGTGGGAGGGGACGTCAGGAAACAACGGAATGGTCAGGCCTGCAGGGCGCACACCCGCCCAAACTCACCAAGGCCACCCAGCTCCGCGCTCTGGGACGGGCATGTCACTGTAAGAGCGAAAGCTCATCCCGTGAGCCCCCGAGGCTCCTGAGGCCAGACCCCGCCTTGACTTGCCGAGTTCGAGAGCAGCAGACTCCCGCCTGCTGCCTAGGCAGGACCAAGCCGGCTGCCCATTGCTAGTGACCCTAACAGTCAGCTCACTCACCTGCTGCATCTGCACTCACACTCCCAGGACACTCTGCCTGACCGTCCTCTCCCGACTCTCTGAGGAGCAGCCTGGCTGGAGCGGGGAGAGCCCGCAGGGGCCAGGGGACGGCACCAGGTGGCTCCTGAGCCCATTAGGGCCTGGATCACCACAGGCCAGAGACCTTCAGCCCCCAAGGTGAAAAGCAGCCCAGCCTCTGAGGGCGAGGGCCGTCCCCCACTGCACACCTCGCCTCCAGAGGAAGTCAGGAGCCCACACAGAAAGCAGCATGGCGGGGCTCCACCGAGTGCAGCAGGCCTCCACACTCTGCTCTCAGAGAAGACGCAGCCTGGTGGCCAGGGAGCTCGGCCACACCCGTGACAGAGGCAAGTGCCAGCCTGGCATCACAGGGAGGGCCAGAGGCAGGGCCCCAGGGCCCCAGGGACCCCAGACTCAAACTGAACCCAAGAGGGAACAGCGACAAAAAAAATAAAACCTTCCAAATGGCCCGAACACCACGCTTCCACATTGCATCACGCTGTAACTCGACAAAAACGTGTTTAAAAGATAAGTCATTGTCGTCCTCAAAACTGTCAGAGAAGCCTGAGAAGATTCGGCACAGGTGCTCCGTGGCAATACCAGGCCCAGCTGCTCCCACCCGGCAAGCCCAGAGGCCCCAGCGGCCCGGCGGGGTCTGGAAGCCAAGCCGCAAGCTCAGTGCCTGAGACACTGCCCCACATAAGCCATGGCCCCCTGTGCCGGGCTTCGTCCCCAGGTCAGGCATCACCTCACCTGAGGGGCCACCCCCACATGAGGCTCACCTCCACACAGGGATCCCCTCCACATGGGGATCACCTATACATTCAAATCACCCCACATAAGGACCACCTGTACATAGGGATCCCCTCCACACAGGAATCACCTGCACGTAAGGATCACCCAAGGATCACCTCCAAATAGGGATCACCTCTACAGAAGGATCCCCTCCACAGAAGGCATCCCCCCATGCTGAGCACCACCCCTGCATAAGGCATCGTTGTGTGGTGACCTCACCGGGGCATGCACTACAGGGACAGGGGTAGGATAATTTTTAAAGGTCTCAAGAAAACCCTATAACAGGTGTATTTTTCAGTTTGAAGAAATTCAGATTCAATGATTTCAGAATGAGCCCTTCACATCTGAGCCCCAACACGGAGTGACCAAGGGCCATGCTGGCGCTGCCCGGGCACCCCCAGGCACCTGCGTGTGGTGAGCCCCAAACTCAAGAGCCAATCCATTCTGCTCAAAGAGCATGAACCAACACATAGGTAGATCAGCGAGATCTTCACGGCCTAGTGATGGGGCAGGGCTGCTGCCCGGGGAGCTGTGGTCCTAGGACAAAGGTACAGCTCTCCACAACCGTGCTGGAGGGAGGTGGCACCGCGGCCAGTCGCACACTCTGGAGTCCACCCTGCAGGGCTGGGCCTCCACCCGAGGAGGCACACGGGCTCCAGCCACCCTGGCAAGGATGTGGCTGCATGGGGGGCTGCTTCTCCAACCGTCCACAGCTGACCCAAGACAAACCACATCAAAGAGGCCCCTGCTGCCACGGCTAACCACAGGCCACAACCGCAGGGCAGCTAGTGCGACACCGGGTGCTGGAGCTAGTCTGTGGTTGTCATGGTCTTGCTGTCCTGGGGACGGAGCCGGGGCCTGGTACAGCTAGTTTCTTTTTAGAGATAGCAAAGAAAAGGGGCCTGGGGTATAGGTCAGTGGTAGAGCACTTGCCTGGCGAATATGAGGGTTCAACCCCAGCACTGCTGAGAGAGGGAGAGAGAGAAGAAAAGGAAGAAGGAAACATGGGAATCTGCAGCCTGGATGCATAAATATTTGAAAAGGCCTCATCCCAGCTGGAGGCAGCGCTCCCTAAAAAACTCGGAAAAGCAGGAGTGGACTGCAGCAGGACACGCCCCCCCAGGGCCATGGCCGAACCTGCAGAGCTGGCCACCTGGCTAGTCAATCGTGTTCCCACCCTCACACAGACGGATGCTGAAAAGAAGGGATGAGCTACGACCACCCCGAGAGCCCTGCGGGCAGCAGCGGAGCTGGCACCACGTGCCACTGGCTGAGCACTAGACCAGGCGTTGCACGAGACGCCTCAGTTCAGCATACAGACTGCCCCGGGGAGAGTGCAGAGCGACAGGGAGCCCCACCAGGATGACAGGCCCACATTGCTGCCCTGCTGGCCCGCACCACTCCCACCTGGGCAGCAGCACCCAAATCACCCACAGAGCCCAGGGTGCACCCTACGGCCCAGTCTCCCAGCTGGCTTTTCAGCCCTGAAGCCCCAGCCCTCGAGGAGCCAGGCCCACCGGAGAGGCCCACCCATGCCAGGGTATCTGCACACGGCTGAAACCTAGCTGAGATTGCTGATGATTAACAAAACAGAACTGGGAACGACAGGTTCATCAAAGCAGCTGGGACCTCAGATTGGCTCCAACGCCTGGCGGGCTGGAATTTCCCCCTCACGGGGCTCTGAATCACAGGCTGGTGGGGGGGACGTGCAGGTCAGCGCGCTGCTAGAGGAGGTCGGCAACAAAAGGAGGCCATGCACCACCGCCGGTCCACGAGGCCCAGCCAGCACTGTCGCCAGACCTCTTCAAGGACAGCTGGACAGCAACACGTGAAAGCCATGGTGGGCGGGCCCAGCGACTTGCTAAAATGGCTTTCTCAAACAGAAAACTAAATCTACACCTGCGCTGAAGAGATGTCTGTGCACACAGTTCCTCACCTGCACCTGTGAACTCCGACTCCTGGTTGTGATGCAGATACACTCAAGTTTGACTGTAAGAACATTTATCACCTGTGCACATTCAAGCTGTACTATGCTAAAGATCCTATGAAAAGCACACCAAATGGCCTCATCTTTCAAAATGATCATCACTTCTGTGACTGTGAATTAATGCTATCTCGACACATGAAGCATACTGAACTGTGCACCACTGTCCCCAACAGAACCTGCTCCTGCCAGGGACAGGTGGCTGGCACAGGAAGAGGCTCTCGAGACATGAGCCACACTTGCTGCCCTACTGCTGCTCACAACCAGCTCTGAGGGGGAAACACTGTGTCCTCGTCACCCAATGAGGCCTGAGCACAGAGGGCGATGCTCACGTTGCCGTCCGCCACCACGGGGCTGCTGAACACATACTCCAGCTGGAAGACTACGGCGAAGGCCGGGTGCTGCACCATCTCAGGCAGTCGCAGGCGGCTTCTCAAAACCAGGGCCTGGTTTCCAGAGCTGGGGCAAAAACAAAACACAGGGACACGTTAGAGTGTCTCTCACTCCCCACTTGTGCCTACCCCTACCCAGGGACCAGGGGCGCGGGAGCACTGCCGACACGGCCTGGGCACCTGTGCAGAGCTGTCCTGCATGTGCTTGGCCCCGGGCAGTCCCCAGCCAGTGCTTCCTTCTCCCAAGTGCCACAAGCAGCACCTCTCCAGACTGCCAGCGCACCCTGCAGCCAAGTCCCCAGAAGCACCACGTGGAGGAGGGTCCCATTCTCTGAAACTGGCTGCTGTGGAGGACAGCAGCCCCTGCTGCATCAGGAGATCCCTGTGGTGACAGAGGGACAGGGGTTTGGGAAGCAACTGCTGCATCATTTGGGAAACTAATCCCAGACACATCTGGATTCAGCATGCCAAGGGCTCCCCGGACCCCCAGCTGCCACAGCAGGAAGTGTCCAAAATGCGAACTCTAAAGTGTCAGAACACAAGAAGGGGCTTTTTCCAAGCGCACTAATTTGCTCTTAGGGGCATAACTGAGCAAGTGGAAGAAAGGTGACTGGGAAAAGCCCCAGTGGTGACTCCACAGCTTGCGTCCCCACGCACCTTGGGCCCCAGGGAGAATACCTGGTCCTGGAGGAGGAGCTCACTCTCCTGCTGAAGCTGGCCGAACGCGTCATGGCCACATCCATCTCGGGCACCAGCACAACCACCTGTGGCCTCCGCACAAAGCCCAGGCCATTGTGCACACCTACATGCAGGCGCCGCTCCAGGACCTCCAGGGCCCCGCCATCCAGCAGGCCACCCCCCTGCAAGAGGCACAGGGACATGGAATGAGTCCCACACAGCCAGAAAGGGGGTGGCCAGAGGAGCCCCGGCAGGCAGGCAAGCAGATGAGTCCAAGCAAAGGTCAGGTACCTAGCCCCACCGTGACTGCTGGCCACAGCACCTCCTAGGTGAGGCTGGCCTCGCCACACCACCGTCCTTTCCAAGCAGCATGCCCTGCGCTGCCTGGTGGCCAGGCTACTCTAGCTTTCCAGAGCTCAGCTTTCCCAGATGGGCAGCCTCCTCCCCATGGACCTCAGCTCCCTCCACAGACAGGTCCCAGAGGTCTGGAAGCTCACTCTCCTGAGACAAGGGGACACATGATAGAAAGGTGCCCACAAGCAGAGCACACCCAGTTTCAACTCTGTGCCCCCAGAGACTTGAGGCTCTGGGAAGAAAGGCAAGAACAAGATGACATACACTCAGGCAGGAAGTCACGAACCAACAGCAATGGGTCGGCCCCAACATGACCACCAGCTATTAAAGTGCTTCATCTTAACAGAAAATGAACAGGCTCTCTGACCAGTGCACAGGGCATTCCTCCAGGCCACTTGCACTTATTAAATTATGCAATCTTTGCAAAGCGACTGAATTTTCCAGTACCCATTAATCAAGTGAATGGACCTAAATTCGGCCTACTAGTCTTTGGATAATGGAAATTAAACCACAGAGACAACTGAGTATCTGCAAAAACACACAGTAAAGTTGTTTTTAGGAATACGTAAAAGTCAACCATGGCACTCTTAAAACATCTCTGCCTTCACACGACCCACTCTGAAAAATAAGAAAACAATAGATCTCCCTAGGAAATGGTTGCTGCGCAGCCTGCTTCTGCTCCATGCCTGCACGTGTGACCATGTTAGGCAGAACTAGTTTCTAAGAAGCAAAAAAGCCAGCTTGCTCATGGGGAACCAGTCACTTGCTCACTTCGTAGGCCACGAGAGTGGGAGCCGAGTAAGAGGACCACCTGTTCCCCCAAGTGGAAACTCCAGCCCTGCCACTAGCACCCTGGCAGAGCATGGTGCACCCTCAGCTCATCCTCCCAGAGCAGAGGGAGGGTAACCCTGGGCAGAGAAGAAAACCAGGTGCTCCCCGAGGCATGGAGCACTGGAGAGGTGCGGGTCAGCTGAGGGGAAGGCGACCCATACAGTTTGCACAGGGGCCAAGGAAGGCCTATAGGAAGAATGCCCAGGAAATGAGCCTCATGTTCAAAGGCCCAGTGGCCAGCATGCGTCCACAGGTGAGTCCAGGGAGCAGCTCAGGTCAGGAAGCCGGCAGAGAAAGCCCATACTCTGCAGGTCTGGCATACAAGGCCAGGTGCCCAGCGTCAGCCTGAGGACAGTGAGGAGCTGAAGCCAGTAGGAGGTCTGAGCAGGAGGAAAGGCACTGGCTGCCTGTGTTTCTAAAGACCACTGTGGCTCTGGGCAGAGGCTGTGGCCTCAGAGAAACACTGCAGCCAGCCTCCAGCTGACCTGCCAGCTACCTGCACACAACCAAGGATGAGTTGCCTCCTGCTCGAAATTCCACCAAGAGCCAGGATCCATGTACAAGAACACGCACAGCAGCGTCCTAACGGCCCCGCCTGGAAGCAGCTGAGGCCACCCTGTTGATGGACAGACACGTGGCAGGGCACTCACAGGAACACCACACAGCAAAGACAGTGCACAGGCTGCTCCAACAAACAACCCTGCACAGTGCCCAGCAAAGACAGCACAAAGAAAAGGCAGCTTCGTGGAAATAAAGGTGAAACGAGGCAAACCCACACTCGTCCAGGCACCTCGAGTGACAACCCAGGACAAGAAGCAAACACCGGGTAACAGGAAGGCCTGGGAGCGGGAGGCTGGACCAGGAACCCAAGCTCCTTTCTCCTCTCTTCCATTTGCAAAGCCCCTCGCCTTCCTGTGACCTGACTGATGCAAGGAGATGCCACTCGATCTCCTGGCATCTGTGGCAAAGCTGCTTGTGGAAAAGCCAAGAGTGAGCACCCTCGGTGTCCCAGGAGGCCAAAAAGCAGCTCCCTAGTCCAGTTCTGCTGCCCCTCCGCCCGTCCTTTAGAGCTGAGACCAGACAGGGCCACCCCTCCTCCCTGCTGGTGGCTTCAGCTCCGGAGCAGTCAGCACCAGGCCCGGGCAGCATGGAAGCCGTGCAGCCCACCTCCTGTTCCTGGGCCGTCCAGAGGAAAACAGAGGCCAGGCCGGGCATCCGGGACAAAGAAAGAAATGAGGAGTCCCCCAAACCTGCAGAGGCTCTGAGGACCTTCGGGTACACAAATGAGCTGCATGAGAATACCCAGGGAACTGGTCAGGAGGGGGGCCAGAGCTTGAGCTGTCCTCGCACTCAGGTCTTGCCGCCTGCAAGCTGTCATCACAGGACGGGAAGAGGGGCCCTCGGTGTGGGGGTCCTCCTGCAGGGCAGCCTGAGCAGCACACAGAAGCAGACGTGCATGCTGGGGCACATGTGCTGTGTCTCACTATGGCCACATGCACGTCCCTGCCTGATGGGTGGGCAGACCCCCCAACAGGAGCATGAAGCACCCTGCCCAGGCATGCAGTGACAGAGGGGGACAGAGGAGTGCTCCATGGGCTCCCAGGTTAAGGCTTCTAGGAATGTGTCCATGTGGATGGCAGAGTGCCAAGGGTCAGACAGGGTGAGACGTTCTCAGCTGCCTTTAGGGGTGAGCAACAACTCTCCAGTCACCTCCCGAAATGAGCCACAGTGCCTGGTCACCCATGCCCACTTGGGGTCATGATCTGCTATAAGTGAGGAGTGTTTTGTCATCTACTGAGATGAGAGTCAGTGTCTCCAGCCAACAGCACCTTTGTCACCTTCCAGGACGGGGGCTGGAGGATCTCTGGGGTCCGAGGAGGAAACGGGTCCCAGGAAACCTGTTTTACACCAACTCAGAGACAGAAACAGCGTCCCTCTTCAGCCACAAAGTTGGGAGAGACAGGACCACATCCCCTGGGCACACCCAGCAGCACCAGACCCCGGCAGCTGGCCCAGCCCTCAGGATGCCCTCCTCGCAGCAGGTGAGACGTACCTCCTGGACGTGATCGCAGGTGAGGAGCTGCACCAGCTCCTCCTCGAACCTCCCGAGGGAAGGGCACAGGGTGAGGAACAGGTCGTCCAAGTGCCACGTGACGGGCTTCTGGAGCCGAGGCTTCCGGAGGGCGTCGCCTGCAGTGAGAGGCTCGTGTGAGATGGCCCGGGGCAGCAGGCAGAGGACCCCCAGGCCTCAGACCACAGGCAGTGGGACCTCGAGGCCAGGAGGAGGCAGGGGAGTCACCTGGACACAGCACGCTGGGCCACCCACTGAGCTAAGGTGCACAAACTGCACTTGCCACTCAGATTCCAGCAAAACTCCTCCAGAGGCAAACTGCAAGTGGGCCACTGCCCTTCAGCTGGGTTCCCTCAGCGCCGCCTCCTCAGCCACAGCAACGCCACTGCATACCTGAACCAGCTGGAAACGGGACCACGTACTGACATCTTGCAGCAAGCAGACACACAGACGGGGCTGGCACCACAAGAACCAAGCCCTTCATAACCCACTTGAATCAAATGTATGAAAGATGATATGTCATGAGCTTTGTAATGTTTTGAACAACCAATAAAAAGAAAAAGGAATAAAGCCACAAAAAAAAAAAGAACCAAGCCCTGGTTCTGACCCAGAAGCACCGCCTTCTCCCTGAGGTCACGCCCAGTGCAGAGCAGGCACACAGCACGGCTGAGTGGGAGCTGGATCTGCTCCATGCTGCAGGACCAGGAGAAGCAGCCGCTTCCCAACCCACACAGGGATCTGGGCTTCCTCTCCTGGCCACTGCAATCTTCTCCTCCTACCTCCAACTCTTCCTCTGATTTTGTGATCATTTGCATATTAGGTCTTAGGTTTTTAAAAGACAATTCCAAAGTTAAGTAAACTTGGTGCTAAGGAAAATGCAGTCAGAAGGGAGGGCGGGAGAGCAGGGAAGAAGGTTCATCTTTGCCTCTGTGTCCACAAGAACCCAGGGACAGAGGTGGAGAGGGCTGCACGACAATGTGAATGTGCTCAATGGCCCTCCACTGCCCACTAAGGGATGGGGAAGATGGCCTGAAGTCCACCATCTGCGCGGTGGCTGAGCGAGCATCCTAGACAACCTGAGCTGGGGACCACCCTGCACCCAGCCAGACAGGAAGCAGTGGGGTGGGGGGAGCGAGGCAGCAGGGAGGCGGGAGGCCCCGCAGCACCCAAGGCTCCTGTGCTACTTCTGGGAAGACAATGGCAAGGCCAGCAGGGGCCTGGGAAGGTGACCAGCGCTTAGGCCACTCCAGGTGAGCAGAGACCATCCCAGCAAAGTAAGCCAGAGGAGAGGAGGAGAGGAGGGGGAGAGGAGGCCGAGGAGGCGAGCGGCCCAGGAGAAGAGCAAGAGAGAACCCACAGGCCGCTGTGCCCCGTGGCTTCCGCAGACGCCCCCCACTAGGCAGCTGTGTCCTCCACCTTGATGCACACATTCACCTCGACAGTGGGCGGGGGTGCTCGCGGGTGCCCTCTCAGCCGCCCACCCGAGGGCCTGCACCACACTGGCCAGCAGCGCGGCGGCTTCACTCACGAGGGCATGACAGCGGCCACCCAGAACCTTCTGCTCTAGACCAGCAAGGCCACTGGCCACAGAGCAGGCTGGACCCGGGGTGAGGGGCCTTGTCAGCAGACGTGAGGGCTCCAGGTGGACGCCACTGAAGGGAGGTGGTCACGCCCATGTGCACCTGCAAGTTCTGCACCTCCTCCCACGCTGAGGCCCCCGCTCTCAGCCTTCACTGGTGGCACCGTCCACAGCACCCCACCCAGGGACTTCTATCGGCCACCACAGAAAGCTGAGACTCCCAGGACACCCCTGCCCCACCCTCAACTCCCGCAGCCCCCAGGGCACTGTCTACCCCCAGCACACTCCAACTTGACATCCCTGTCACTGGGCAGCAAAGACATTCCCACAAGGTGGCAAGGACACGCAGACGCCACCCTCTGGCAAGGACAGTGACGACATGCCCAGCTCGCACAGTGCTGACCTCGACTCTACTGACTTCTTAACAACCCAGTTGCTGGCAGCACCGGTGACAGAACTGGGGACACACCAGCTATAGCAAGAGAGCTGAGTAGCCTGGAGCTAGGAGGGAGTCACATGGAGGGGCTGCAGCCACAGCAGGGCCTCCTCCTGCCCTGCACACAGCGGCCAGCCACAACTGCGGGGTGTGGCACAGCAGGACCTGTCCTCAGGAAGAAGTCAGGTCCGCCAAGAGTCGCCAAGGCACCGCCTCCTCAGGAGAGCTGAGGAGCTTCTCTGGAGGCAGGTGGGCCTGGGAGCCAGGCCTGGTGTGGACCCAGCTCTGCTCATGGCCCTGGGCCAGGCACTGCCCCTCTCAGTTTCCACAGCTGAGCAAGGGGGGAGACCGTGCACCCCCAGCCTGTGGGTCTCACTACCTGCAAAGTCACTCTAGAGTCACCATAAACCCTGACGAGGACGCAGGCCTCGCTTGGCTCCCAGGAGAGATGTGCGCACACATAGGCCCCGAGAGCACAGTCCTAAATCCTCGGAACAGCCTGGCTGTGCATCCCACACGATACTTAGCAAAAGAACACCTGGGGCTCAGGGGCCACCCTACTCCCAGCCACCATCCCCATCTGGTCACCATCTCTGCTGAGTGTCCCCTTGTTCCACACCAGCCAGGACGTGTGCCGCAGACTCGTTAGCTTCCCATGGCTCCGCAAACACCCACCAGTGGCGGGGAAGAGCCGAGTCTTGATTTGGGGATGGAAGAGTCTTGATTTGGGGATGGAAGAGTCTTGATTTGGGGATGGAAGCCAGTTGTGGTGAGCAGGCGAGTCCCTGAGCACAGGATCCACTGTGAGGACGAGAAGCCACTGAGGGAGGGAGGCGTGGGCTTCAGCTGAACGTGAGACAGAGGTCCCGAGGCAGGAGCAGCAGCTCCCGCACCGGCACTCTGCTAGTCCATCTCACTTTCTCCCCCAAACAGTCCTGTCCCCACTTTACAGAGGAAAAACAGAAAACAAGGCCTGGGGAGGGCAGGCGGGGCCGCAGGGATCTGAGGTCTCCAGCCACAGAGGCTCGCTCCACCCTCGAAACCATCAGGCCCCAACGAACACCAAGCCCCAGCCACACGCGACCTGGCCCCCACAACTCCACCCATGCACTGCTCACTCTCCACCCTCGCTGTCCTCAGGCACTTTGGGGATCACAGGCCCCTCCCTGCAAAGGGGCGCACTCTTTCCTCCAGAGCTAAGGGCACCGTGAAAGCTGGACCACCCCTCCCTGAGCACCCCACATGGCCTTGGGTTCTAGTTCTGGAAAGCCCAGCTGCACTTCCGTGAGCAGGCGTCCTCACTCAGGGAGCCTGAGCCACCCTGGCTTAACCTCACCAGCATCCCGGCTGTGACACCGCCACACACACACACACACACACACACACACACACACACACACACAGGAATCACGACCCTGTGTGGCCTGTCAATGACACATCAGAAACTTGACCGCCACTAAGAAAGCCCAGTCAGACGGCCCTCCCCGCTGCAGACCATCATCTGGTGGAAACCCTTTCCACGGGACAGTCACGAGGGCGCAGAAGCTCCTGGGCAGAACTCGGGGCAGAGCCAACACCTGGGTGAGCACTCTCGGCACTTTGACCTGGCACCCCGCATACCAACCGAGGCTGCGCACCCGGGCTTCTCTTCCAAAACTGTCACTGGGGAGCCAGCAAGAGTCACATCCCATGGCTCGGCTCGGGAGCTCCTGCATGGAGTCAGCACTCTCTACCCACCCACCCCAGGGCTGCACTGGCTCCTCTTTCAGGGTCCCTGCTCATTAGACTCAATAATGACACATGAAGTGCCCTTCATTTCTGCAGCTCCTCAGGCACCACCCGCAGGTGACCAGTGCCTCAGCGGCAGACTGGCTGCTCCGCACAGGAGAACAAAGCCAGGCCGGGCTGAACACCCATGCTTCAGGACAGCCCTGAGGGGACTTCTCAGCTACCTCCTGCTTCTCCATCCAGAAGCCCGATTTTGGCCACCAGCTCCCTTTGTACCCCAGCTCCCCACAAGATACTGAGAACAAAACAGGTGTTTCCGGGCACCTAAGTTTCTGTCACCACCCCACCCACAAGAAGCAGCAACTCCACAGGGACCTGCAGATGCTTCCTGTCCTAGCTCAATCCCACAGACACCTGTGCGCAGTCAAAGAGGGATGGATACACCTCCGGCCCCCAGAGCACAGGTCAAGACGCCCGCCACAATGACCCTAAAATCCACATACAACAAGGTCCTCAGCATTGGCACAGAGCAGGACAACGCACCACAGCGGAGCTCAGGGCCCCCTGCCCAGGGCCCAGGACATGCCCGGGCAGCAAGACGGGCCACAGCCCAACAGGCAGGGCCAGGCACTGGTTTTCACCCTTCACTCGAAGCAGGGACAACAAGGCCCACTTGTCTGGCCTCCCATTTGGGGAGGTCACAGGTAGGACTCACACCAGGGGCTGAGGAGGACACTGTAAGCTCAGGGCTGGGAGGCGGAGTGGGCAGCTTGGGGTTAGGGGCTCGAACTTCAGCTGGAGGAGATGAGAACTTTCTGGAATGGCGGAGGCAGCAGCTGCACAGTGGTGTGAAGGTGCTCACCCCTGACAGTCCCCTGAAAGACAGCTCAGGTGGCAAGCTGCACGTCATATATATTTTACCACAGCTGAGAAGTTATGACAATGAGTTCCTAAAACTAGGGCACAGCAAGGGTGGGATACAGCAATAGTGGCTTTGCTGGCCACCGTCATAGGGAGATGGATGATGTATTTAATAAGAGTATTTACCAGAAAAGAAGACAAAGGTGACACAAGGATGGCAGCTCACTCCCCAGAAGGGACAGGGACGGATGGCCTTGCTGCCTGCTCCCCAGGCTGGGTGCTGAACTAGAGTGGGACTGGGGCCAGTCACCTACCCGGAGGAGGCCGGTCCTCTGAGGTTCAACCTTGAACCACAGACCCACAGAGAGAGAACCAAAGGAGCCTCACCGGTTTCGCTGTGAGCGGGGAGGAGGCCAGGGATCCGCTGCAGCCCCGACACCAGCAGGTTCTGGGGCACCAGGTGGAAAGCAGGCTCCAGCGGCGGGTGGAGCCGCAGGGTGTACAGCAGGCTGCAGCTCTCGATGAGGGTCATGTGCTGGTTTTCTGGGGGAAGAGAAAACGTGGGGCTGAAGCCAGGGCACTTCTGTCAATCAGCAAGAAACAGACTCAGGGTCCCCACCACCCAGGGAGGAGACAGGAGTCCTTCTGCCCCGTTGGCCTAGAGATGGAAAGCACAAGGGCCATTTGTTTGGCTTGTTTGTATGTGTGTTTGGGATTTTGTGGATTTTGTCTGTTTTTGCAGTGCCGGGATCCAGCCCAGGGCCTCCCGCGTGCTAGGCAAGCACTCAGCCTCGGTCCAGCCTTCCTCTCCCTCAGCCCAGCTACCCGTGGCAAGGCTCGGCCAGCACACAGAGCTGCCCAAGTGTGCACACAGGAGCAGATTCAATCACAGAACATTAATTTAAGGAAATGCCTTGCAGCCAGGAGGATGAGAAGCTTTCTAGGTACTGATACGAAAACCCTCCAAATGAATGTTACGAAAAAAGCAAGGCTTAGAACAAACATTTGCTCAGGGTCATAAAAAGAGCCACCAGGATCCTGACCAGCTCCAAGAGGGAGGCTAGCAGCAGCAGCGGGGCAGCAGGCGGAAAAGAGTTCACTCTCAATCTCCATACTTTTTCAGACCTTTGGAACTCTGAACCATGTGAACCACCAGGGAAATGCCAACGCAGTGGCTGGACGGACTGCTGGCTGGAGGCTGGTCCCCTGCAACTACTCCCACTCAGAACTGAGCTTGCACACAGAACTGTGGGGGTAGAACCCTGGCAGCCCTGGATACTTCAGGAGAGAAAAATCTTAGCAAAAAGTAATTAAAGTCAATGAAAAATAACCTAAAAGCAATCTTTATAAACAAAATTAACTGTCCAACTGATTGCTTCCCATCTCAAGATTTTCACCAAATTTGGGAGGCAGGGGGTGCCACTGAACATCCTAGCACAGGCCACAGTGTGCACACACAACTGCTTTCAGGGCGTCAGGGCCACATCTCCAATGGACAAGAGGCATGCTCCCCAGCAGACCCACCTCCTGCCACTCTCCCCTCCACCCTCCCTGGGGCCTGGCTCAGCATCTGCTCTGGGCCTCCAGGATGTCCTTCCAAACAGCCCCCACTGCAGGCAGGCGCCTCCCTGCTCATCCTCCAGGTAGGCAGCATCACAGGGGGCCACACCTCCCAACAGAAGCCCAGCAGGAAACTCCCCTGCTGTGGGGCAGCAGTCTGCAGACATCCCCATCAGGTGGGCACAGCTGGGAAGGCCTCACTGTTAGTGATAACCAGTGACTTCAGTCAGAGGTCTTGCTGCTCAGCTGCTTCATCTGGTAGGCAAGGTGTCATCAGAGGCCAGGAGGCCTCCCCCTTTCAGGTGGCTGACAAAGGCCACACCCCCAGCTTGCCTGGCAAAGCAGGGTGGGTGCATTTCAGTTTTTTAAATTATGCAAAAAGCCAAGTCCATGACACATTTGCCAGAAACTATTAGATAACTGTGCTAAGCCGAGGGCAGCTGACATTCAGGCACATGGCGGCACACGCTGAGGCAGGAACATGCTCAGGAAAGTTGCAGTCTCTGCCCGTGTGGCCAAGGACAGGCTGGTTCTTACGCTCCACAGGGTCTTGCAGAAACGGGTGCAGGAGGGCTCTGGGGGTGCCATGGTACAGCCTCAACCTGGAAAACAGGACCAGGGAACCTCGTCAACCATCCTGCTTGCACCAGGCACCAAAGGCCAGATCTGCTTCTTCCACACCTCTAGAGCCTTCTAATGCTGCCAGCCCTGACCTCTGCAGGGAACAAGCAGCTGAGGACAATGTCGGTGGCCATGCCCAGAACTCCACGACATGCCGAGCATGTCAGGTACACCTCGGCCCAAGACCCAAGGAGCAAGAAAGCACAAGGGAAAATCACCAAACTCCAGCGTCCCAAGAAAGACAAGGTTTAAGGGACTGCTGTAGCCTATTGCCAGAGCAGTCGCCTCCATGATGACTTCACCCCAGGAACATCTGGCAGTGTTTGGGGAGGCTTTGAGCTATCCTAACTGGGTGCTGACATCTAGCAGAGGGAGGCCAAGGATGCTGCCAAGCATCCAGATTTCACCGGTGGCTCCCTAACCCTAACCCTAGGCCCTAGCCCTCACCACCCACCACAGAACAGAGGAGGACCTGCCTGGATGTCAGGTGGTCTACACACACGGGAACTCTGACCCTGCTGAGACGCTATGTGTGACCTTGTCCGAGTCTGCACACCCAGCTCCTAAACACAGCCTGCAGACAGAGGCGTTTCTGCTGCGGACCACAGACCACTTCCTGGGGCCTGGGTGTGAAATGCACATGCTTCATGCTCAAGCAGCAAGAGACACACTATCCTCTCTTGGCCACAGAGGAGTGGACTTGGGACCTGAGAGTGTGAATAACGTGCCTGGACCCCACAGGGGACAAGCAACAGGGCAGGGCTGGCCCACGTGCATGCTACAGCAGATTCAACACTCACAGTCAAAGCACAACTCCTCAGCTTGCTTAGAAATAACAAAACAAAAGAAAAAAGGTAAAATAAGCAAAAATCTCTTACAGTACACTAATATGAACACATAACAAACTTAAAGCTCTCTGATCACCAAGAGTAAGCTGTTAAGCCACAGTGAATGAGGCTGGGGACCACAGAAGTAGAAAAACAAAGCAGATACCGTTTGTCCTGGGAAGCAGAGGTCGGAGAGTCAGGTTTATTGCTGAAGATCCGAAGAATTCCAAACCCACAGGACAGTGACTGGAGGGTCCCATCCTGCTTCCTGCCTTCAGTGACCACTTCCACCACGGCCACGATATTTGGGTGGTTTAAGGACGTATGGAAGTAGAAAGGCTGCAAAACAGATCAGAGGCCGCTAGGCAGAGCCAGTGGTGGGCTATGTCCCCAGCCTGTGGGGCGGGGGCGGGGGGCAGCCGGGGAGCAGGTGCCAGACGCGCTTCAGGAGCACACCACAAGCACCAGGGACTATGCATGAGCCCTCGTGTGCAGTGCCACCCCTGATGGGGAAAGAACAGCGCAGGAGGCCACCCCCCCAGAGTCCAGCCGCTGTCAGGGCTTTTCCCGCCAGGGGCCACGCCCAGGCTTCAGCCACTTTGCCTCTGCTCAGGACCTTTCAACCCTGGGAATTCCACCTTGCAGATGCCAGCAGGCCTCGGGCATCCTGGGGAAGAAAGGCTGACCAGCTGTGCACCTGCGGCAGGGTGGTGACTCCAGGCAGGACCGGTGGCCTCAGCCCAGGACAGAACAAGCCCTCTACAGATGTACAGGTCTGCTGACCCTCCCCTGCCCCAAGCCCAGCCGACACTCAGGACAGAACTCTCATCCCGACTGCCACTCTCCCCTCCACACTCCCTGGGGCCAAGCTCAGCCTGTCTCACAGGAGGTTCGTGACAGTCCACCTGAACTCACTCTGTGCACACCAGAAGGACCCCTGGATTTCTCTAGGTGCTAAGTCTCCCCAGCTCAGAGCCTGACCAAGGTCTTCTATGATGACCCAGAGATCTTGCTAAAAGATGTGGGGGCCTAGGCCAAGTAGAGGCCATTCAAACTGATCTCAGCAGATGTTCCCTTTGTAACCTCTTCATCCCTAACATGCAAGTGGGGGCCTCTGACTCCTGCGTCCCCAGGGCCTGAGGGGACCTGGAGAGAAGCGAGAGGTGAGGCAAATCATCTCCCTGTTCGACACACCCGCTCCCTTCACTCTCTCTGTCTTCCTGCATCAGTCAATGAAGTGAAGTTACCTGCAGTTAAAACTGACGGAGGCGCAGGCTCAGAAGGTGGAACAGAGCTGCTGGTGGCATCTGCCAACCCACGGCGTCCGGTATCTATGTGCACAGCACCCACAGGTGGCACTGAGCTGGCTTCCAGACTGAGCGGGTGTAAGGCGGGGTGAGAGCCGCCCCCCAGAGGCAGGGCAGAGGCTGGCCTGCACCCAACTCCCCTATTAACAGGTCATTACCACGGTGTCACCGGGAGAACGTTTACTGTAATCACTGACCGTCAGCCCAGGATAACAGAGAGACACATTCAGACATCCGCCATGAGATATAAATCGCCATTCCATTATCTTTTATTGCAAAAACGATGAAATGATGACCACTCACAGCTGACAGGTGGTTGGACTGGGAGAGCCATGTTTCTGCTTCAAAGACTCAGCAGGGTTTATGCAGCCCCACCACCGCACAGCCAAGTCTGCACTATCTCACCTGTATATTCACACCTGTGCACTTCGGTTTTATGAACACTGCACAGCTTCTGTTTTGGCAGTAAAATGAACATTTTAAACTCCAATATGAAGCAACAATCATCTCCTAGCTTAGAGGTCACCTTGCAGTCAAGTGCTCCACCTGAAGCAGTGGAGGGCTCAGGTAGCGGCTGCTCGCTCACCTCCAGCAACCATCACTGGGAGGCTGAAACAGCCCGGACCACAGGCTCTCAGCCAGTGGCCAGCCCGGAACCTAAGAGCACATCTTTCTTGAGAAGAGGCAGCGTCCCTGGCAGCCAGCAGGCTGAAAGGCAGGTCAAATTCAGACAGTCCTGTCAGTTCCACTGCTGACTGACAAGGACACACTCTTCCAAAAATCATTTACTGACCCTCAGTGTAGGAACAGCTCCACACTAAAGAACTCATGAGGAACCTGGAAAACACAAGCCAGCCTGAGCCAAGTTCAAGGTTCGCTGGCTTTATAAATGGCGGACCGCACAGCTACCGACTGCAAACACTGCTCAGGACCCAGCAGTTCTGAGACTCAGGCAGGAGCCTCCCGAGAGGGAAACCTCTGCACAGCTTGAAACACCACCCCACGCCATCATCCCCACGAAGTCACGAAGTCACGCTGACTGCTTCACCTGCACCTTAGAGCCCTGCCTTCCTGGGAAACAGGCTCAGCCAGAATCCCAACAGCACCCCACTGAGACACACCTGGGCCCGTTAGTCTAGGGGAATTTAATTAACACCAATGCCACAAGTTCTGAGCGAACAGTTCTATGCATCCACTGAAACTGCATGATTAAGCGTTCAAGTCAAGCCCATCCAATTACCCACGGGAGAAGGCCACTCAAGACAGGAGAGACGGCTCCGGTTCACCCTGCATCACCTCCCACTCATCTGCACTGACAAGCTTCCTCCCTGACAGGATAAACAGATTCATAAATCATTTAAATGCTCCTGTCCTAATGCCTACATCTTCAAAAACATGGACACCACTCGCCTCAGGCCAGTTCTCCATCTCTCACCCACGACAAGACTGGAACTGGGCTCTGCACCAGGCAAGCGACCAGCCCCTGCTGACATGTGCCCTGAAGGCCAGGGAAGAACTGAGCAGAAATCAAACTAGCACCTTCCCAAGAACTCACTTAAAGAGGCACCAGGAGCAGAGCACCTTCAGGAGGACCAACTCCCCACCAACACCTCCCCGCTTCCACCTGCAGCTCGGCCTCACACGGGGGCTGTTTCCCTGTCCCAGAGCCCACAGCTGACCACCCAGCGCCGCCGACACAGCTGAACAGCTCTCCTCCAGGACACACAACCTCAAGTTCAAAAGCCAGAAGCTTCCACAGCAAAGGGTCCCAATGATGGCTCCGGCCCTCACCACCCACTACAGAACAGAGGACCCACCTGGATGGTGCCGCGGTGAGAAACACTGGTCTACACACACGGGAACTCTGACCCTGCTGAGAGCTACATGGGACCTCCTCCGCATCTGCACACCGGCTCCTGAACACGGCCTGCAGGCAGAGTGGTCAACCAACCTCTGCTGCGGACCACGGACCACTTCCTGGGGCCTGGGTGTGAAATGCACATGCTTCATGCTCAAGCAGCCCCTGCAAGACACACACTGTCCTCTCTCAACCACAGAGGAGTGGACTCGGGACCTGGGAGTGTGAGTAACGAGCCTGGACCCCACAGGGGACAAGCAATAGGGCAGGCTGGCCCACGTGCATGAGCGAGTGCTCAGCAAAGCACAACTCCTCTGCTCACTTAGAACAGCAGGGGAGGAGACACAAACCAAGGAGGCTCCCAGAGCCTGCTACCACCAGCACACAGGACAAAACCCACCACTGACAGTGCTCCATGGCCCCAAACAAGTGGCAGTGCCATCACCGTCCAGCCAGACCCAGCACTGGAACACCTCTGGAAATCACCTGTGCGGGCCCCGCTGGAGGGTCAGAGCCCCCGGGAGCGCTCCCGCTGAGCCAGAGAGGAAGGTGGCCCTCGCAGAGGGGAGCGCTGCCGGCCAGCGGGCAAGCCGGGAGGCTCCTACAGGGACACGGCTTCCTCAGAAGCCAATCCACAGCCGCCGTGCTATGGCCACGCACACCAGGATGCAGGAAGAAAGCCTGAGAGGCAGCGCCTCCCGTCAGGCTGCGGAAGGGCTGGGTTACCCACGGGCTCCCTGACAGCACCCACTTGTGAAGGGCACCTACATGGCCTCACTACCTGACCCGCAGGGGCAGCCCAGTCCTGCTGTCCCCTCACTGTCATGGGGGGGGCAGACAACCATCCCCTGAGGGACCGACAGCCCACCCCTGAAGGGGTCCTGGGCCAGTGCACACTGGAGTCCCCACCCTGTGACATTCCTCAAATCAACAGGGGGAAAATAGGCCTGCCACAGGAGGGGGACCGCGGTCAGCTGCAGCATGAACTGGGGGAGCGTTCTGTCATCTCCAAGAGCAAACATGGAAAACGCAGGCCCCGCCGGGTGGATTGGAAGGCACTTCTTCAGAGGCTAAAGGAGTTCCTGATGGTCTCAGAGGAAGCAGCTCTTGCCCCGGGGAAGGTCGGAGGAGAGCCCAGCTCCAGCTGGACCCGGCAGGGCTGGCTGCTCGCCGGGTGCCCCCAGCAGGGCCTGGGAAGAGAACCGGGTACAGAGCAGAGAGTCCTCCTTACAGAAAAGACACTCCCCAGGCTCAGGGCCAGAGTTCTTTGTTCAAAGTCTTTTTGAGGGGACAGTGTTGTCACGAGAGCCTCTTCTCTCAGGGCTGCATCACAGTGATGGCTCAGTGAGCCCAGAGCACGCCAGGTGGGTCCATCCACCCACACGTAAGCTGGACAACCAGGGTGGCCCACACGCGACACCCTCCTGCGGGCAGCTCACTAGCTTCACACCAGGTCACCTGGGCCACTGAAGATGCAGGAACCAGGAAGACCTGGTCAAACCTCAGAACCACCTTTCTCGAAGCCAACAGGACTTCCGCAGCTGCACCCCGCAGGCAGGCAGCGGGGGCAGGTGGCCGGCATGCGGCTGCAGAGCGCCCAGGCCGAGGCCACAGCACACACTCAGGCGGTGGAGGGCAGTCCTCTGAGTTACCTAAACTGAGCAGGCCTACTCTCTGCGCCCTGCATGAAAATGAAGTCAGAGGAACACGGGCAAAACACCCTGCCAAACGGCTGTCAGGCGGGATGCTTCCTGGGCCACCACTGGCCTCTGCTGCCCACAGTGGGCACAGCAGCTGGGGATGAGTCAGGGGCGCCAGCACCCGCCCTGCTGACCTGCGGCCTTCTCCACTCAGGGACACCTTGTCACTGTGGCTCCCTGCGCGTCCCCGCCTCCGTCCTGTCCCTGACAGTGCTCCCCACTGGTGACCCTGACCCAACAAGCAGGCTCCTCAGACTCCCCACTTCAGGTGTGAAGCAGCAGCCTGGAGGGACAGGGCTTGGTCACATGCTGCTTTCTGAGAAAAACCCCAGTGAAGGACCTGCAAGAAGGACTGCAGGACCCTGCCAAGGAGGTCACCTAACCAGGGCCCCCCGCCACACTGGCCTGGCCTGCTTGCCCCCGGGCCTGTCTGTCTCGCCCTGCAGGCCCCAGCCCCAGCAGCTCTCCACCAAAGAGACCCATGGTGGCTTCAATCGCTGTGCTTCCTGCCCTGGGGGTGGCCCGACAGACTGCCCGACAGACTGCATGACCCCTCACCCAGCACCGGGGGAGCCAGGTCCATAGCCTGGGCAGACAGCCAGTCTCAGAGCCAGTTGGGGACCAGGGGACTCAACCAGTGTCCATTCCAGCACACAGTCTAGAGCCAGGAGCACAGGTCTGGGCCACACTCTGCCACCCTCGACCGGGCACGTCACTTCACTAAGTCTCAATTTCACCACCTTAAAGGACAGCAGGAGGCAGCAGTGGCAGATGAGACCACCCGTTTCCTGACTTTGTTCCAAGAACCCTGAGATTCCTCACAGGTGATGGGACCCCCGTGCCCCTGCAAGCTGCTTCCACACCAGAGAGCTTGGAGACAAAGTGCCGCGCCA